GTGTGTGTGTGTGTGTGTGTGTGTGTGCGTGCGTGCGTGCGTGCATGTGTGTGTGTGTCAGATTGCTCCCAGCTTTTCACCTCGGGCTTCAGATCCAGTGGATTCTACAGAATCAAAACCAGCAGAGTGTACTGTGATATGAGTGAAGGAGGAGGTTGGACTGTCATACAGAGACGCACCAATGGAAGAGAGACATTTAACAGGTGTGTCTGTAATCTGATAACTGTTATAAAGAGATGAGATCAAGTGAAAAATAATGCTACTGGGCCTTAAAATCAAAAAGAATACAACACACTCAAGATTCTCCTGTGAACCCCATCGATTAGGAGAATGGTTGAATCGTTTTAAGGACATTGCTCCGATCAAAAGATCATTAGCTTTTATTAGAATAATCTACCTACCTACCTGTCTGTCTGTCTGTCTATCTATCTATTTATCTATCTATCTATCTATCTATTTATCTATCTATCTATCAGGTCCTGGTCGGAGTATCAAGAAGGTTTTGGAGACATGAACTCAGAATCAGGAGAGTTTTGGCTTGGAAATGACAACCTGCATAATATCACTGCACAAGGTCAACACCACTTCTAACATTAACAATGGGTAAAAGGCCTGTGTGAAATATTACCAGCAGCGCTCACAGTAATGAAACCACAGAGAATGGTTTCTTCATTTTGGTTTTCAGGCACATAGCTTGGATCACTGTCACTGTTCATATTCTCATCTGCAGGAAGAAGTTTTAGACTCCCAAAAAGTGAAGCCAAAGTGTCTGGATTGCCCCCTGGTGGCTGACTGCTGTATAGGTCATAAACCCTGCCTCCTCTATGTCCTCTCTAGTACATGGGACATGGGCCACACTAAAAAGTCAAAATAAATTTTCCATCATTTTAGGTCGATTTGTTATCACACTGATGTATGTTCAGGTGTTCATTTCATTATTTATTTCTATTTTTTTTAAGTTCGGTTCTAATAAGTTATTTGATGCTATAAAAACGGGCTGATTGACAGCTAAGACAATACTGAGGGTCCACCCCCCCACTGCTGCACACACTAGCGTTAGTAAGATAAGATAAGATAAGATAAGATAAGATAAGATAAGATAAGATAAGATAAGATAAGATGAGATGATCCTTATTTAGTCCCAATGGGGAAATTTACAATATAACAGCAGCAAGAGTGAAAAATAGGATAGGAAAAGGATTTTTTGGCCTAATTTCTGAATAGTGGGTGGAAGTGGCAATTCATGATTCAACTACAGTCTATGGTTGAAATAGACAGATTGTTTTGCAGATATTTATTGACTAAACCTGTGTGTTTCAGGGAATTATTCTCTGAGGTTAAACCTGGAAGACTTTGATGGTGGCCAGCGCTATGCTGAGTACAAGAACTTCAAAGTGGCGGATGAAAAGGTGCTGATGCAGACTGAAACAAAAAATCAGTAAAACCTTAGACTGTATAGCTTTTTTTTGTATAATTACAAATATTTGATCCTGCTGTGGAAAGCAATTGATGAATAGTAACTACTCAATGGACCTAATCATCTTGTTTTCTTGTGTTTAGGTTTATATATTCCATCTTTTTCATTATGTATAGGCTTAAAGGAATAGTTCTCAAGGTTACATGAGCGGATCGGTCCATCTCTCTGCAGTCTCTACACAAAATACGAAGCTAAAGCCGGTTGCTGGTTAGCTTAGCATTAAGACTGGGAGGAGGAAGAAACAGTAAGAGTGGTTCTATCCAAAGATATAAATCTGTTTATCAAAGCCAGTAAAGCTCAGTAGTTAATTAGTTCTTTTTGAATATGTAAAAAAACAAGTTTTAAATTAAAACATAAACTGCCAGATAAGCTGTCAGGTGCAATATTGAGTTTAGAATCTTGCTAAAGGACATTTCGTTAGGCAGACTGGAGGAGCCAGGTAAGTGAGATGACTTCCCTTTTCTTTTGTGAGAAATGTGACGGAGGGATTTCAGGGATGAGGAAGGTTATGAGCTTCTCATTTTGATTTCTTTAAGAAAATGAACTTTCTAAAAATGTTTGTTGACCAACTCTACCAATGTGTCTTTCTGCAGGATCACTACCGACTCACATTCGGAGCCTATGTAGGTACAGCTGGAGATGCCCTGAGTGGAGGTTTCCATGTTGGTGTCTCGGGGTGGGCGAGTCACCAGGGCATGAAATTCAGCACCTACGACCAGGATAATGACAACTACAAAGGAAACTGTGCCCAGGAAGACCAAGGAGGCTGGTGGTTCAACAAGTATGATTCTTCCACCAAAATGCAAACACATACAGCACAATGCATATAATATAAATCAAAGTATGATAAAATATTATTTCTCTCTCTCTCTCAAGGTGTCACTCAGCTCATCTTAATGGCATATACTACCCCCGTGGTCACTACAGTGCACTGACAGATAATGGTATTATTTGGTACACATGGAGAGGATGGTGGTATTCTCTGAAGACCAGCGTCATGAAGTTGCGACCCACTGCCTACAAAATTGACCCTACTGACGACCCCAATGCTGTAAATCGCGGCCCATCTTCTTAGATGAGACATGAGCAGATATCAGATCTAATTATTTTGGGGCTAAAAGAGTTAAACAAGCCATATTGTTTAAATTGGTATAAAATTACATTTAAATTTAAAAATAAGTCAAAACGATAGATGATGATGCCTCTCCACTTCTGCCTACCTTAAAAATGAAGCCAGAAAATCCAGGCTGTAGGTACTGCCATCTCGACCTATTTTGAGCCAGAGTCTGTGCAGAAGTGATCGTAGAGTGTAGTTGTGACATTGAGGTCCACCACCCCAACCAATCACCCTTCAGTCTCAGTCTTCCATTATGACATTTCACTCATTTTATATAGCATCAAATAACTAATTAAAACCAAACTTATCGGAAATGTAAACACCTGAACAAACATAAATGTGATAAGAATTACCTAAAATGACACAAACCATTTTTGTGGAAGAAAATCATTCAAAATGTACTTAGGAAGGCAGGATTTATGACCTATACTGCAGCCAGCCACCAGGAGGCGATCAAGATATTTCAGCTTCACTTCATCTTTATATACAATCTGTAAATCTTATTTCATGATCATGTTAATATAATGTGGACTTATTAAACTGCATCTGGTTATTCTGCTAAGCAGCAACTATAAGCAGCGTATGAAGCCAAGATGAACCAATGATTCAATCATCCAAATGTCTGAAGTGGCAGATAAAAGTGCACATCTTAACAGTATACTGGAAATGTAGGTAGCTTACATAGCAATATATAAATGTGTAAAAGGTAGTTTGCATCATCAGGGGTTGTGAAACACTGACTGTTTTAGAGACATGGATGTTGCAAGGGGAAGTGGCATGCACACAGCTGTCTGTTTTGCTGTACAAAAGGGAAATCTGATGCTGATGTGTGTGTTTTTGTGCGTGTGTATGTGAGTGTGTGTGTGTATGTGTGTGTGTGTGTGTGTGTGTGAGTGACAGACAGAAAGATGAACATTAACTTTCTATGTATCACAAACAACAGAAATAAAAGATTCCTTTTATGGCTCTAATTTATTCTATACTTCATCAAACGCTTAAAGCTTTTTTTTTTAATTTTTATTAAACTATACATGTGAACATCCCTCCCATTTGCATTATAAACATGATTCACTTTTTTTTTTTTATCAGTAAACTCTTTCATATTGACATTTTAATTGGTAATATTATTATAACCAATGTATTTTGAGTCCACTTTGACTCTTTATTATCTGTTATAATGACTCCTTTCTAGTACAAGGGCTCCCAAGGCTGTTGTGGTGAGACATTCTTTATGTTTTATGCAATTGTAATTAATAATTAACATAATACAAATTCTATAATATAATTGATATAATTAAATTAGTCTAGTTGCTGGTTACCCTGCAAGCACCACTATCAGACAGTGAGAGAGAGAAGTGACCAACTCTATATTTTGAAATCACATATAGAGACCATGATTATGATAGTAACATATTTTTGATAATCAGAAGGTTTATAAACTGCTGAATATAAGCCTCGCTGTATTAACCTAAGTTCTTTTAATAGCACAGCAGTTGAGTGTAAAATGATGTCTTATTTTCCACATATTTTCAACTGATGTTCTTGTTTGTTACAAATGTTTTGTGCCACATCCAGGCCAGACTGAATTAAAATAAAGACCACTTGGCAAAGGGTAATACTGACATGAGTCTCTAAGATGTAATCCCAAGAAGGATATGTTTTTTTAGACTTTGATATCTGCCAGTTGTGTTGAAAGCAAACATGTGCACGTGTTTATGACAAATCCATTCATGTCAAGTGTATATGAAAAGTTGTAGCAGATAGTAGTAGTACCTGTTTGTAACATGAAATATTATTATTATTCTCCAGAAGTTTCACATGGTTTCCTTTATGAGTCCATAAGGCTTTTCAGGATTAGCAGTGGTATATCATTTTGTGTCAGTAAACCCAAACATTACACTTTGTACTTTTATTTATTTATGTATTTAATGATTTACTTACTTACTTAACATTGTTGATATGTACAACTTTAACATCTGGAGAACAATAAATCATTGTGTAACGTGTGTGTAATAATACCTGAGTTGGGTTTGTCTGAATTAGCAACTCAAAAATATATAATATTACTACTTTGTACCAGAAAACAGAAAGTAAACATATTTATAATCCAGATAAAGTGAGCACGAAGGTGACAGACAGCTACTGGAGCCAGTGTCTGAGGGAACCATCGAGGCATGATCCCGTGTCTGCTCGCATGCTTGGTTATCCCACCTGCAGCTGCTCTGTTGGGCGGTGCTCTTCCCCCCACTACATCCACACCAACGTGCAAACCGAACAAACCCCACCCTGCACTCCTCACCCGGGCGGTCTCGGTACACAAAACAGGCGCAGCGCTGGCGGGTAAGCGCGGGCGCTGATTGGCTGACGGCCCCTGCGCGTTCACAGATTGGCAGTCAGCTGGAGCTCGGGGAAAATAACAGTAGCCTGTTTTTATCTGTCGAGGATATCGGAGCGGACGCATCCCGTGGCTCTTCGGAAGTCGCCATTCCAAAGCTCCCGGTGCATTCTTCTCCACAGAGGACGAGCGACAGAGCAGCGCCGTCCCCGCACACCTCCATTTAAACGCGAGGTGCGTGAGCCAACATTCGCTGACGTTCATTTGCTTACTTAGCGAGCATCAGAGCTAGTTAGCTCGCTGTCATTGTTGTAAGTAGCTTTACTCTCAGCGGAAGCACACAGCAGTCCAACTTCATTCGCTGCCTCTTACTTTGATTTCCTGTCTCTTGTTTTGCTTGTTTTCAGGAAACTTAACAGCAACTCGGCTCCACACTTAAGCCTCCTGCTAGCTAGTTTGGTTAGCAACAGTCACTAAGCTACCCTTCCACCTATTTGTCTCCAAGGTGACGGTGGTTGTTGCTCCATCCATCCCGCCGCCGCCACTCCCACTCCCAGCGCCTGGGTGTCTGTCACCTCCCGGCGCCTATTCCAGGAGAAGACAAGCCCGGTGTCCTGGTTCTGCCGTCGGGAGGGCGCCGTGCTGTGGAGGACTAAGCCGGCGGGGCTGCGTGGCTGTGGCTGCCGGGTGGGCCGATGCTAGGAGCGTGGAAAACATAGCGCGGCGTGGGTCGGTGAGGAGATGTCAACGCGGGGATGCCTCTTCTTGGAGACAGTGTTGTAGTCGAGGGTACACACGCGTGTACACGGTATACCTACCGCTGTGACTTGGTACATAGACAAGCGGAGCAACTTCTCAGCCCAACCAGCAGTGGCACATTTATGGATGGTGGGGTCGCAGCATGCCCACCCCCTCAACTACCACTACACAGACTGGAGGGAGTAGCAGCGCCGGAGAAGGAGAGGGGCCCATGTCCGCCACCTCCACCACCTCTGTCGGCTCCTCTTTCCGGTTCGTCCCGGCTTTCTGCCTGGGCGTGGTGGCAGCAGTAGTATTCCAGCTGGCCTGGGGAGGCCTGACCCTCACCTCCTTCTTCTTGAAGCTCTTCATCTATGTGTCATTCGCCCTGCTGTGTTTCCTGGCGGGGAGCTTCGTCCTGCTCGTCAGGAAGAGTCCTCTCAAAGTGAGCTGCTTCGCGAGGAACACAAGGCAATCAGCTGCATGGCTGGAGTTCTTCAACAAGCTCATGGTAAGATACTGACGCCTCCTAGTTCAAGCTCATTACTTACTTAAAGTCAGACACGAACTCCAGAGAATGTCTGAACAATTGGTTGTGGACTTTCTCAGGAGTTTGCCCTTTACACATAATGCTGCAGGATATGTTTTTTTTTTTTTTACATCCTGAGATATCTTTGTTGGTTTTAGTTTTGCATCAGTCACTTAGTCCACTGCCTTGTCTGAATAATCCTCCGTAGGATCTCCTGCTGTTTTCTTACGTCTGCAGATTAGGACTTTATTTAGACTTTGTACTGGGGGGCTGGCAGGAGAAACTCTGTAGGTTGTCCGGAGCATTTCACTTGGCCATTTGCGTTCCCACATACAGCCCCTCCGAATGTCAGGAGATTGTCCAGAGTTCAGTGCATGTGCAGATATACCGTTCACATTTGGTAACACACACTCTCTCTACCAGCTCCCCAGGATCCCAGGATATCACATGGGGGAAATAATCATGTCATCAGGAAGCATTCAAACCTCAAACAGTGTTGAACACACAGTGCACATTCAAGTTTCATATTTCTCATCTCTAATTGTCTCTTTTCCTGCTCTCTGCAGCTCCATCCTTTTCACCGTCAATTATTTTCCCCTCGCCATCTTTCTCCCCTCTCTCATCTTCTCTGCCTGCCCCCCTCGCTGTGTTGAGCTTTAATAGACAAGGCAGAGTCATGCTGCTGGATTTGGACACACACACACACACACACACACACACACACACACACACACACACACACTTATGGTGATTTATTCTCCAAGGAAAGTGATTGTGTCCTTGTGACTGGCTGGTGTCTTACCTTAACAAGCGGCCACAGCCCAGCGGCAGCCTTTCAGCGACTGCTGCTGTGTGCCTGATGACTTATTGATGTTGACAGAGGAGTATTGTCTCAAGCATTAGTCTCGTTCAACATGTTGTATGAGCTATGAAAATGTTGGCCCAGTGTGTTAGTCAGGATTCTCGTCTCATTAGACACACAGCTCTCAGTCCTCTCTCCCTTTACTGATTTTTTTCGTTGTTCTTGTTCTTATTTGTGCTTTTTGTTTTTCAGGCCCGTTTTTTGGTTCCAATTCAGGAATCAAGTCAGAGCAGGAGGGTGGTGGTGTCACACAATGTGGACAAAGCTCTAAAGGAAGGTAAAAGATCAGCTTCTGACCACCTATGCTCATGTCGTTGTAAATACTATCGAGTACAGAGTTGTTCCTTTCTGCCAGATTGAGTGTCTGAAATGTTAATATGAAAATTCTATCTCATGTCATTCAGCTTCAAATAACACAATGTTGCACGGCATTTTTGGCGCATAGCTAGACTTAAGCTCTTGGCTATGCTTGTTGTGTGCAGTCATGGCATTCGCCAGCAGATCACATTATGTAATGTTAACATCATGTTAATGTGATGATAATAGTCATATATTTTATTTCAATGTGTCTTTTAGACACCCAAGGAATCCTAGCAATACATCATAAATTAGCACATAAAATAAAACCAAATGTGAGAGACAGAGTAAGAGACAAAAACCCAACAATACAAATAAGGCAGGATGATAGAAAAAATTCCTATCATGATCATTTCTTTCACATCCATCGTAACAGATTTATAGACGATATAAATCAGATCACTATTTCTGTCATTTTTGCTCAGATTAGAAGATGAGTGGTATTTCCTGTCTATGAGGGAACATGCTTTTGATACAATTTGCAGTGCACGCTACACTGCTTCTTGTCAGACTTTAAATAGCCAAAATAACTCCACACTACCAAATTCCTCTGACCATTATTTTCAACAATGTCCTTGTTTCTTGAGCCTTGGGCTGTGTCAGTAGTGGTGTCTTCTTCTGTAACTTTTCCAGTCTTTATTTTCCATTTTATCTCGCTTCCACTCCTGACATACTGGTGTGCATGGCTGCAAGCCAAACACTAGCACTCGCATGTGCTGCTGTCGGCTGCTACGCTCCATGCTTTATGCGTCAACCTAACCTGACAAGGCTGTAACTCTCTTCCAGCCACACGATTGATTCGGCACACCGCTATTCTCATTAGCATTGGCTCATCGTGTTGTCTGTCAAACATGGATGGAATGAAAAGTTATATTGCGATAACTATTTTTAATATCGTTTTATCACCCAGAACATATGTGACACAAGAAAAGTGACGGATAAACAAACTCTTAGATTAGATTACAAAATAGAGATAGAGTGGTGTTTTCGTCTCTTAAAGGTACAGTGTATAGAATTTAGTTATATCTAGTGTTGAAATTGCATGTTGCAGTTGAACACCCCTCACATCAACCTCCCCTTCCAAAAGTGAAAAAGAACCTGTGGTAGCCTTTAATTGTCATAAAAACTGAAAAGGTGTTTAGTTTTTCCAGTCTGGACGAATGTAGAGAGGGTCCCCTCGATGTAAATATAAAGTATTTAAATATAAAGGGCCTTTTCTGGGATAAAGAAAACTACAATACATACAATTTAGATGAATTGAGCTAGTGAAAACATCATGAGGACTATTTTACATTAAATTTCTGCCAATAGTTCCCTTTCTCCTAAATCGTACATAATGGACCTTTAAGAAAATCGAAATAAAGTTTTCACATTCCGCAAAAATCAGTACCCATTTCACTGCCTTTGAGTGTCTCAGCTGTTTGGTTGGTTACATTACAAGACCATTCATTTTTAAACATGAGTCTGAAATGTCTATGACACTGTTGGAAAAATGTTCAACTTCTGTTTTTGAGATAAAACTGCTGACTGGGGGAGCATCCATTTCTGCCACTCACCATGACCTGTCCCTGATCCCTTCTTGCTCATAGTGGATTACAACAATCGCTCACACACAAACACAAACACACACACAAATGTTTGTACTTCTATTTTAGTGAGGAGACTCATAATGCATTCCCCAGCCCCTTAGCTTAACCTTAAAGGGATGGATCACAGAAAATTGAAAATTCACTCATCTACTCACCGCAATGCTGATGGAGGTGTGGATGAAGTGTTTGAGTCCACAAAACACTTCTGGGGTTTAAGGGGTAAACTTTGTTGCAGCAGAATCAAATACAATTGAAGTCAATTGTGGCGTCTTCTTCAGACGTAATAAAACAACAGAAAAAACATAACGTGCCTCCATACTGCTCATGTGGTATCATCCACGTGTCTGCAAGCCACGAGACGGCGTCATTTAAACTGTGTTTTTAGCCTTAATGTCCTTTGATAGTCTCCTTGGAGACGTGTTCGTATACACACACTGGCACACCGGAAAACCACACACATGCCTAACTCTAACCCTAAAACCAAGTCTTAACCCTAACCATGTACAAGTCCATTTAAAAAGTGAGGACCGGTCAAAATACCCTCACTTTCCAAAAATGTCCTCACTCTGTAGGGTCTATTCTTAAAATGGTTCTCACAAATATAGAAGTATAGGAACACACACACTCAGCCACACAGCCAAGGAACAGATGGCTCCAGATTTACATAGAGGGTGTGTATTTGCACATGCTCCTGTGTGTGTTTTAAAATGGTTCTTTGGTTGACATTGTCAGGTTCACAGTCAAATGACTGACAAACCCTGCTGGGTCAGTCATTTGGATGATTATTGTTTCTGTATCAGCTTTGTTTTGGTGCTGTACGATTGTATGATTGGGATAATATCCAGCCCTCAAGTTCAGAGCATTAGCTTTTCATTAGCTGTTACATTGTTATCTTTGTTTTATAGTTGTTCACACAAGCTAGAGAAAAAACTTAAAATCAATTCTGTAAAAAGTATATTTTTCCACTTTTTTCTTTCTACGGTTCTTATTAATTTGGTTTCCATTATATTGCTCGAATGTAGTGAGTGATATTTTATTAATATTAAAAAAAATATTAGGACTAATCGACTGAAAGTTAATTGTATAGTGGTCTACATTTAAAAAAATGTTGCCTGTAAACTACTGTCGCCACACCAACCTCATCTATGCATCATATTTTTAAGCCATTGATCCTTTGCAGGGTCATGGTGGTGAGAAGCCACACACAGGTCGCCTGTTAATCACAGAAACAGTCTTCACACCCACAGGCAGTTGAGTCACCATTTCAGGAAGCTTGCATGTCTCTGGACTGTGGGAGGAGAGATGAACCCCAACCAGACAAATGCTAAAGTGCAGGAAAATATCTTTTAGTACCATAAGAAGGGCCCAGATATTCCTGCCAAAGCTGACTGTTGTTAAAATTGTATTTGAGAAAAGAAGGTACATCTGCCATATGATGTATTGGTAAAAAAATACCAATATATGTACTGTAATCATATAAGTCGGCAGTTAGATTTGGCAGAAAATTCGATCTGGTCAGCTCAACTCATTTAACTAGAATTTTTATCAAAATAAATCTGACATTAATATCAGTATGTAGTGATTGTAATGTTCATGTGAATTGAAATTCTCAAATAGCTCTGAAGAATACCTCAACATAAGTCTAGTTTCAAAGAATTTTATATTGATGTTCAAGCAGAAATTGTGTCTGTTATGTCAGGATTTATAATGAAGTGTGTACTAATGACCACTTATCACACATTGTATCTATGTGACCTGTGAGCAATACCTGCATTCATAAACCTTTAGAGCCTTAAAGAGACAAAACTACCTTATTTTGCAAGAAAAGAGCAACTAATGCTAAACAGATTTTTGTCGCGGAATTTTTTTTTTTTCTTTTCATTTCTTACACTGGTAATCATCTTCTGTGCTCTCAAAAGGATCCTAACCTTCAGGTTAGGAACATCAATCTCGAGTATTTATTAAAGTCAGTGTAAACATAAATTCAACAGTGTTGCCTCACAGCAAGAGAGTCTTAGTTATGAATCCACCATCCAGCTGTGGCCTTTCTCTTGTGAGTTTGACTCTTGTGTGAGATGTGTGTATATCTCATCAGGGTTATGCAGGAACTCATTTCCTCCCACACACTGAGGAAATTAAGGTCACTTGAATTGATGACTCTAAATTGCCTGTAGGTCTGAATGGGACTCATGACGCATTAAGGACGCGTTTGGGTACGTGTAGACCTGAACTTGAGTCCACAAAACACTTTTGGAGTCTCGGGGGTAAACAGTGTTGCAGCCAAATCCAAATTTTAAAGCTAACTTTTTGCAAAGAAGACCACAAACTAGTGTTGATGTTTTAAACTTTCTGTGTTACCGAAAGATTTACACTGTAATGTAATGAATTTTTTGGCTTTGTAAAATCATTTCAATTAATTATCCGTTGCAGCTGTCTGTCTAATATAGTTTTTCAAGCTGGTCTATGTCCACCTAAACAGGAGGTGTTCAGGCTCTGGTTGCTTAGAGCTCAACAGACAATCTGTAGTTACACATATGAAACGCAGGAAAAGATTTGCTGTGCATTATGTAAAAATATGTTTTGGTGCTTGTTCACAGGTGTTAATGGAAAATAAAACTTGTAGATATGTTGTTAGCATGCATCTTTTAACAAATATATATATTCCAATTCTCTTGTCTCTGTCCAGTGTTCGACTATGCCTACAGAGACTATATTCTGTCGTGGTACATCCCTTTGAGCAGTGATGAGGGCCAGTTGTACTCCATGCTGTCAGAGGACTGGTGGCAGATGATCGGGCAGCTGAGATCCAGGCTTGCCGATATAGACCTCGTCAATGTGGTGTGTTATGACAGCATCCGTATCCTGCACACACACTTCACTGACCTCAAGGCTGCATCTGCAAGGTAAACACACACACACACACACACACACACACACACACACACACACACACACACACACACACACACACATAATTATAGATATTCAAGGTTTATCCATTACTTTTGAGGGCAGCTTCCTTTTCACAGAACTATGACAGACAATATTTTTCAGCTCTAATTTGTTACTGACAAGATTTCCCTCGTCCAGTGTAATTTCATGCGTGCAGATGGGGTGAAATTACAGCAGTTCAGTACAGCGTATAACATTATACTCTCCCAGCCTCACTTCCTTTGTCTCTTGGCAGCATTTGCCAGGTCCAAAGGAAACAGAATGATGATTCACCCATCATCTGGTTTCATTATCTTTGCATGTCAGGCGAGACTTATGATTTGATCGCACTACAGAGATGTCTGGCCTCCCTCGTCCTCAATAGTTAAGGCACAATACAGGGACAGCTTGTTCAGTCTAGTTCTAGAAGCATAGATTGTGTGATGAGATGCAGCTGAAGAATGAAATAACAATGGCAGTTTTAGGTCCAGGGAATCGCTATTTAATAAAAGCATAATGACATCTAGCTCTGCCAGAATATCAGTACAAAATCTCACCTTCTCTGTTTATATCTCAGTCTTAAATCCGTGTCTCTCTTGTGTGTGTTTATTTCTTCAGACCGGAGGAGTTTGCTCGGCCGTTTCCACTCCATCCCTGTTTGGTCAGTTCTGACTCGGAGCTGGCCTTCCTCCGCTGTGTAGCCAGAATACTGCTACTCTGTCTGCTGCCACAAAAGGATGCCAAGTCACACACACTACGCTGCTGCCTCACAGAAGTCATCACTACTAAAGGTACTTTGATTGTTTGTGTGTGTACCAGTACTTTACAGTGTATTATATGACACTGGAATATCCCACATTTGTTGCTCCCAATCTTGAGATCATAAAGACATACAATAGCATGATAACTTAAGTTTCAGGTCACCAGTTAGTAACTAGCTCTGTTGTCATTACAAGTATGGATCTCTGAGAGGGTCAGCAATATTGTGGCTCTGTTCAAAGTCATTTGATATTAAAGACACACTGCACAATTCAATGTGTTTTTTGAGCTGTAAACGAAATTATATGATGTTTCTTTGAGGAAAAACATCAATACTTGTTTTAATATCACATTTCTAACTGAATGTATTTTTAAAAAATCTACATTTATGGGTTGAACATGGCTCCTACAACCCCCTAGTGTTTCAAATTTGCTTGGACCTTGCAGAATAAATGCTTGTTGTCTCTTTATTATTTCTATCTATCTATTTCTACATTTAAAAAGAACACCCTCTAATCAAATCTCCCTCGCCTGTTGCACTCACGCACGCCTGCACGCATGCACGCACACACACGCACGGTATTGTGCTTATTTGCTGTTGCTTGCTTTTACCCGTTGTTACTATTTGATCTCTGACCATGGATGAAAAAGTTGACAACATAACGGCTGCAGTCTCCAGGTGTTTGTAACATCCAAGGTCATAGCCACTGTTGACATTTGCATAAATCTCTTTCTTTGAGATAAGAATACAGTAAGTGTACTTGGGGGAAATTTGATAAAATGTGTATTTTTGCTTTTGTATTTTGTTTATCTTTTTTCCCATCTGTGCCTCAGTATGTCTGTGTATCTGTCAGACTCCATTGTGCTTTGTTTAATATCTGAGTATACTGTATTGTTATGAATGTTTATTTCATTTCGTAATTGCATTTAAGAGTAGTGCGTGGATACTCAATGAACTCAATTTACAATATCTTTTATATCTTTGTGTGTGTGTGTGTGTGTGTGTGTGTGTGTGT